TTCACTAAATATTAATTAAGTTATCATATCTAAATTTAGTAGTAATGTTTTCTTTCAATAAGACTTATTTGATTCAGCGCGTTCTCATTTCGACTAAAACATGTGTGCACAAATAAATTCAAAATTTTATTAGTATGCACAATAAACTTGGCGTAGTATGCAATAGAAATCACAAATTCGTAATTTTAATTAAACCGTTCCACGGAAGCCCAATATCAGTCCAATTTCAATTCCATATATTAGTTTGAATGAAACAGATCATTAACCCAAGAGCAGCTACATTTCCCAACGTTGCATTAATTAATTGATAGTATTTATGTCAAAATCAAATTCTATTTCGAAGAATATATATGTTCAATGCACACTATCGTATAGTTACTGAGGCCCAAGCATGCTAAGATGATATATGAGACGTATATTGAAGCTTTCCTAATTACCGATTAATAATTAACGAAACAGCTTGCTTGCGATGGAAACAAAACAGAGACGGAATGGCATACAAGCTTTTATAAGGTTTATAAAGAAAAAGGTTGTAAATAGTCATTAACTTTGATATCAATCTGTTCAATCCAGTGCCGTAGTTATTTTAAAACAAAGTACCGTTTTCTGCCTCAGATTAAACATACAATTACGAAATCACGTGGTTAATTTAACTAAATTATTTAAATTGTTATTAGGCATTATTGAATTATTTACAAACATTTTTAGGACGATATTTGTAATTTAACAATATCTATTATAAACTTGGGCGGTAATATTTAGTTATTTAATCAATGTCAGGAAAAACTAGAAATTAATTCAATAAACGATTTAATAACTTTAAATTGAAAGATAAAATTTAGAACAAAATAAAATAATTTAGAAATAAGTATTAAATGTTAAAAAAATAAAACGTAAATAAAATAATAGTAAAATAAAATAGATAAAATACTTAATTAATTTACGAATGAGATGGCGTACCTGAAATAAAAGAAAAACAAGTATGAGCAATTAAGTTTACCAAAAGCAGCTTTATATTGAAGAAAGTCATGAAAAGGTGATATCCATAAATAAAATACTTATTATCCTTTTAATTAACAAGAAAATTATATTATTACATCATGTCAAAATATTGATTATTTAAAAAAAATATAATTGACATAACTTTAAATTTTCCATAATTGACAAAAAGTTATATTCTTAATTCTGTAGGCACTGACCGCAATGCCCAAACATCGATCGATATATAAAAAGCCATTACTAGCACACTGACCGCAATGTCACTAGCCCGCACCAACCATGGTGCGGCGACTCTGGGAATAATCCCAAAATAAACGCATACACTGACCGCAATGTACTACGCCAGAACAGACAATCTAACTCACTTTACTTTTGATTACACCTCGTAGAGGAAAACAAAATATAAGTAAAATTCAAATAAGTTTTAATTATTTAATATAACCCTGTTAATTTAGGATATCAGGTTTTCTCAATACTTGACAAAATATCTTTACGTCAGAATTGACAAATTAACTATAAAAGGTTGATGAATAATAATTGGGTAATATAATTTGCAAAATAACTTGATTACAAATTAAAACAAAACTTATTGATAAAACATAATTACTCAGTGAGAAAAACTCACCCTGTTCAGCAAACAGGCACTCACAAAAATTATAATTATTCACTAGTTTTTTTTTTTATTATTATTGGAACGAACTTTAATATTGTTTCGTAAAGCAACTAACCCAAATTTAAAATGATCTGTATTTTATGTCTGGTTGATATTTTACCCTTAGTTCCAATATTCGTAATTCGATACCTCCGTATCTTAATAGTGTTAACATAAACATAGTCTGTGGCTGTTTTGAAAGACAAATATTTCGTACGTTTGAAAACCGGGTGTTTCGTAAAATAAAACTTAATAAATTTGTATAGAAAATAAAATCATTCTTACACATTTTATCCCCTGATTTATCAATGGGGTTTCTTTTTTCTGTTGGCAACACCGAAGGTGTAATATAGTTCAGATAGTCTTTTTCAAAGACTGTACCCCTTAATGAAAAATTAAAATTTTGCGTACCCCCTTGTTATGGGGGATGGGGTTTATCAAGATACGTGGAGGAGGGGTTAATTAAAAACACGATTCATTTAAAAATATATTTGAAATGCATTACAAAACATTAATGAGAAGGATGAGCTTGCTTATTTTTACAAAGTTGCTCAATGTTTGGCTCAAGCTTTGTTAAATACAACCTTAAATCGTTCTCAACATTCAGCTTGTTTCTGTACTTATTTTTTAGATAAGTTAAGCTCGAAAACCCTTTATAATTATAATTTTTTGTGATTACAAAAGAGAAATAAAAATGGTTTAATTTTTCATTAACCTTCCCGCGTACCCCCTAAAAATTTTCGCGCACCCCCAAGGGGTACGCGTACCACAGTTTGAGAACCCCTGGTCTAAGACATAGGAAGTAGTTGAATCTTTATTTACTGAAGCCCTTCCTATGGGGCCTCTGCATTGCATTAATTCACACAAAAAAATTCTACTTCCTCTTTTTAAGAGTTTTTTCGCGATTACGATCATTCTGGGTCCGAAAATACAAAAAAATGTTCGTCTGGTCATCGGTGCTTAGGTGTGCCAGCCAGATAACTCTTGAAAGAAAGATCCGATTGACTTTCGATTTTGATTTTATTGAATAATTGCTTCTAGAACTTTCAGAATGTTCAGTTTAATCCAACTACTTTAATATCAATATTCTTAAAATTCCATGCATGTCTCATGGGGTTTGATTTAAGTATTGATTAACGATTGCAATTTTTAGACACTTTATAAGTATGTTACGGCTGTCATCTAAAAGTTGAATTAACTCAAATTAAAACGTAAAATGTTGACTGCAAAATAATTTGTAAAATGTTTTACTAAATACTAAGAAAAAATGTATTCCGAAAATGGAAATGAAATGTCCTTAACTTCATTAGAAGTAAAAGAATCTGCTAAAATTGCGTCACGAAATATATTGTCAAGAAACTCAAAAAAAATGTATGTGGCGGCGTATGAATTGTAAACACTTTCGGAATGTTGACTAGATCATAATGTAACTTAATCCCATCGGCATTTTTCTCGACACTTAAACAAGGTCGGCATCTGACATTGCAACCAATAATAATATCAACGTCTTCAGGAATCACATTATTTAGAAAGATCTCTAACTTACTAGTCGGCAAAATCACAATATAGAAAATCACTAACCATTAAGATATTATAATTAAACAAAGTTTTAGATAAGGTAGCAACAAATTCTAATTCACAGAGATTTACTTATTCAAATTTAGATGATTTATTAAAAATAGACTTATCTGTTGTAACAAGAGGTACCTAGTATATAAGGAGTGATTTGTATAGGCCTTCTTCAAAGGGACTCGAACGATACTGTTTGGATAGCACCAAACTCCTAGGTATAAATCTTCATAAAATTAAATCTCCAGAAGCTTCTTTAGATGTAACTCCAACCAAACCTTTTGATATAGTTTGAAATAAACTTCTTGATAGGAATCACCATAAACAGTTTTAGATATATCTTGAATTAAACTTCTAAGATATGACTCGAAATGAACTTCTTCGATACAGCTTGAACTAAAATTCTAAACCGTCTAGATACAGCCAGGCTAAAAAGGAAAAGGTAAAAATATCAAGAAAGGAACTAGAAGATTTATATAGGAATCAGATAAAATGCCTTTAACTAATAATTGAACAATTTAAACTATTAAGCGAATAGTTTCACAGAGACTAAAATTAATATGAAAAGGAAAAATCTTATTTAACATATTTAAATATGGTAAAGCATATTATCTCATTCCAAACAAAATAATATATAAAATTTTATAAAACGTGTCATTCATGTATTGAGGTTAAGATCAAAATCGTTTAAGAAATTCTTGTACAAAATATATATTTTCAACAAAATATCGGTATAAAAGCTTACCTTATAAAATCAGACGGCCAATCAGAATATTAAAATACAATTAGTACATCAGATGTCCAAGATAATTAAAAATTTAAATTCACTTGTTCGTTGACAGATACGAATCGAAATGAAATGGGAACTTTTGACGCAAGGCATGAACGACAAATGACATTTGAGTAGAGATGTTTGCGTCAAAATAACGAAAACGGTTTCAACCGTTACAAATAAAGAAAGCGGTTCCAACCGTTACAAGATCGATATTCTAAACATTTTGAGTTCTAATTCTCAACAAAAGCACGTGTTGGCCTAATCGTTCCTTTTAATGTTTTTACTAGGGATTGTTTAATTATCTACATGTCAGCATCACTATTAATAAGGTATTTTAACGACTAAGCTTGTTCACAGTATAATAACATGGCTATCGTTGTCGAATTCAGATGGTTTTACTTTTTTTTTAATATAAATGTTTTCTTAGGCTTGCTTTGTTTATACCAACAATTATTTGATTCGACGTGACCCATTTTTTTACAATGAGTGCATTTACTGTCGAATTCTTATGAGTATTAATCGTGTTAAATGAACTCGCCTGTTATGTACTCCGACATAAAATTTGTTGGTGTCTCTGGCGGCAGCTTCTTGTTTAAACTAACTTCTTGGTTTTCTAATGATCTCTGCATTTTTCGTCATTTTCGGGGACTTAGGTCAACACGGATCGCATCAAATTAGCCGAGTAATTTCACGTTTGGAATTTGGCTTTTGAATTGTCTAAACCGGAACTGAATACCACAGCACAGCATTATAAAATTTAGTGATGATCCACAATTTTTGTTTTCCACAATCACACAGTGAGTTACAATCATGGCTTTGAACGAACGAACAGCTGGTGTTTCCTTGTCAGCGAATGTATTCAGAAAAGTTTTGTCATGTTCAAGAAAGAAGTCCCCAGTCACCACAAAAATAATAACCGCGATTCTTTAGGTCCCCCGCTTATTTTAGCGACATTAAGTTCGTCTTTTATTTTGATAGCGTCGATAAGTCATTATTTCAAGGAATATGTGCTGCCCTCAAGGTCTTAGCTGGTAAGTCGAAAACAGTGCACAGGTGCAAATGTTGGTGCTTGCGTGTTAGATTATGCTGCTCCTGCAACACTGGGAGTTGGCTTAACGAACGGCTACGTATGGAATGTTGAGTTAAATCAGCAATTTATTACTCTTGGGCTGCTATCAAGTTTAATAATGTTTCCTGCCACTTAAATTTAGCACGCTTTGAACTATGTCCGTTCACATTGTCTTTAACATCGACCGCCATTGTGTTCGGCTGACGCACTGTCACGAGGTTCAGGATTTTCGTCCGCCATTATCAGTAGCACTTCTTATTAAATTACTAATTACAGTCTATTAGCCACGGTACGCGTAGTGATCCCACTTCTGATATAAACAGAAGGGATGTATCATCCCTAATAAAAATGTCTTAACTGCTTTTTCAATGGTGTAGTTCACGATCAAGTATTCTCAATTACAATATTGCTATGGTATTGCCACTGTCTAATCGCGTACTACCCACTGCGCTGGTCTGCCTTCTCCCGCTAGTCCATCCTGACCTGCAAGTTTATGGACTTTAAGATTGTGTGGTGAGTAGAAACACACCTCTAACATATATATATATATATTTTATGTTGGTGTTCTTAGTTATGTTGTTATGTTTAATAAATATATAGTTATTAATGCAGAATTTGTGTAAACCTCTCTTTCTCTGCGTATAAACTAGAAATTAAAATTGCCGACAAATATTAGGGGATTGATTTGGTATTGATAAAGCATGTTTTTTTAATAGTGTGCAAATAGTACTCTGTACTAATTCTTTAATTATTTTAAAAAGTACCAGGTACCTACCAGGTACTCAAGTGCAATTTGTTAGTATTCAGTCCAGCTCTGCCCGTAATATTATTACGATCTGTTTTAATAAATTATATATACAGAAAAAAGCTTGCTTTTATGTTTTTTTAATTCAATAGAAAAAACATTAAAATTGCGAAACCATTTCTCTCTCATTCATAAAAAGGCATTTAACATATTTTATTAAAAAAAAAACATAAATTAATCAGTACGTGGCATGAAAAGAACGGAGCCGGTGATTAAACGAAAAGCAATTACGCCTAATCTTTGCAGATTAATTAAATCTACGAAAAAAATTTAAATATCAAATGAACAGCTCCGTCTCTGAAATCCCCGTAGGCAGGTGCATGAAGTACATTTGAGAAACAATGGCGTACACATAAATCGATCGAAATAAAACGACCCCTAATTAAAGTGTGCCATGACTATGGCCGCCTAAGAGAGTCGCAAACGGTGGCTTATGGCTCCACTTCAATAATTGCCCCAGAACAAGAGTAAATTTTACAAATTTATGCCCAAAACCATTATTGCTTAATCTTAAATTAAGGGAATTTGTGTTGGACTGTAATTAGTTTTGAATTTCATAAATGGGGAGAATGTTTTGTACGTTCTTATAGGAGGTAATTTGTTTTGAAGTTTTAGTATAAGAAAAACTGGGAATTATGGAGCCCGCATAGTGGGATTAATAATTTTGAGTTATGAAGGACTTGGACAGTTTTCACTTGATACATGACAAAGTGTTGGAGTAATGTTAAGAAGGGCTTAATATATTTTTAATTGTTCTTTGTATTGAGGGCTCTAAAATATTTTAGAAACAATTTGTCACTTTCTAAACGTCCAAACTTTTTTACTATCACTATAATATAAATTATTTAGGAATTATCTCTCCAAAGACTATAAATTGAATTGTTAAATGATTTGTAACTTTTTCTATCTCTTATTGTCGTCTAGTGTGGCTTATTCAGTTTCCTCTCACCATTTTCATTATTAATCACTGCTTTTAATTTGAAGCAAAATTCGGACAAATAGTCGCTTATTTCTCTAGATCAGACTAAAATCGATTTTGCTTAGTACGAGTGTACATAATATGAAATGACAATTTACGACATATGTTTCAATATAAATATTACAGCAAAGAAAACCATGAAAAATTGGCAGTTTTGACGGTGTTGCCAAGCTCATTATAAGGTATATTTGTGAATTTGATATTGTTTTATCACGAGAGAAACGAGACGAGACGAGACAAGACGAGAAAAGGCTCTTTCGAGCGAGAGAAGCGCCTTATCGTCGAGACGAGAGAACAGTTTTCTCTCGCCCTACGAGACGAGACGAGAGAGACTATCTCGTCTCGTCTTGTCTCGCGGCATCACTACATCCATTGGATTACACAAATATCCCACTCCTGGATGTTCATTTGGGCTTCATGAAAGGTCCATATATGGATTCTTTTTGTATTGCTTTTGGACAGTTTATAGACATCTGATGGACATCACCACCTATATTTATTAAGAAATAAAATAATTGCAACTATGGACATATCGTTCATTTGGAAGAAGAAGGTTACATCTTAAAATTTTCATTTTTTCATTTTATTGCGGTAATAATTCAAAAAATAAGTCTACTTTTATCTGGTAAAAGGTTGCATTATGTAGTTCGGCCGTTTGCTGAGAGATGGCAGATGTAACTGTCTGGCTTTCTGCAATTGTTCAAGTCGGATCGGGTAAAAACAATTATATTTCAGTTTGTAACTCACGTTATAGTAGTGAAGTTCGCCAGTTTTTATGAATAAGGCTGCATTTTATCATATTACCTCAAAAAAAGTAATATTTTTTTATAAAAGAGTGATATTTCGCGATAAAACTTTCTTTCTTCATAGGTAAGTTAATTTTTAAAAATTTATTTTTAATCAATACAGTTATAAGTCGAAATATAACCTTTTTTCTTAAATAGTTTAAATGAAAATTGTTGTGTGTGTTTTAAAATAAAGTAATATTTTTATTTGTAACTGTATTTAAAATAATGTATTTTAAAAATTCATTCAATAAGTTGTTTCTCATATTAATTTGTTCGTGATGTAATTCTATTCTCCAAAATAATTTTGTTATATTTATAACTTGTTTTTAAATAATTTTTATTTAGTCCTTTATGTTATTAGAACTCAAAATCAAAAATTATGTCATACAACTCTCGGACAAATCGCATTTTTGCGAATCTAAAAATACTTGACAACACCTAAAACTATCATGATTCTATTAGAGACGATGAAGCAGTTCAATCACATAAAAGAAAAATGAAAATCTGCTCGAGGCTATATATTCCGAATTAAGTGTAAATGTGTATGATGTAAACTTGAAACCAACTTGTAATGTTTCAATATTACTTACGCCTTGAAGGTATTGAAGTCAATAAGATTATAGAAGAAAGTTTAAAAGGTACCAAAAATTGAAAATACAAAATACTTAATCTTAAATATTTATTGTTTTTAGAAAACGTTGCACCTCAATCAAAAGTCGATGAAAATACTTTAGTAACATTAAACAGTAAGTCGTCTTCAGGTTCTAGTTCAAACAGTACTTCATCTTCAGATAGCAGTTCAAGCAATGATTCGTCTACAGATAGTAGTTCAAGCAATGATTTATGTTCAGATAACTTAGATTCTAAAAGTGATCCTTATGGATCAGATGACAGAGTTGCAGATCTTCCTTATAATCCACCCGAAATACCAATGACTGAAATGATAGCTGAAATACCTACAAATATTAGAGGTGCAAAGAGCAAGGTTAAATACCATTCAAACAACGAAAAAAATGGTCGGAAAAGACTGAAACATACTTCGAAAAAGCTAAGGCAAAGAGCTTGCGAAATAGTGGAGAAGCTTATTTGTATATAGGTATCGTGAAAAGTTCAGATGGCATTAAAACCAAATCAAAAATTAATCGTCCAGCAAAGACACTTCACCCCAGTGTGAAAGCGGAAAAGTTCTAGAGAAAGACAAACGAGGTCGACATGGAAATCACCCTAAAATAAAAAAGTCCATAAGAAATCATATAAGCCTTATCCCATGATTAGAAAGTCATTATTGCAGGTCTCACACTAATAAGGAGAATATTCAAGGAAGTAAAACTATAGCTGATTTACACAGGGACTACCTTGAATGGTGTAAAGAACAAAATGTGCCGTCTGTGCTTTAAGATTTTCAATGAAGAGTTTAACCTAGCTTTTCATTTTCCGAAAAAAGATGTGTGTGAATTATGCTTACAGTATAGATCTTCTACAGAAAAAGAAAAATTAACTATAAAAGAGAAATTTGATAGACACGTTAAAGAAAAAGATTTATCTAGAGTGGAAAAAGAACTTGATAAGAATAGTGATGATAAGACAAAAGTGATAGTTTACTACTTGCAAGCAGTTTTGCCTTGCCCGACAGGAGAGGCATCATCATTTTATTACGTTTCAAAATTAAACGTTGTAACGGTTAAAACCGTTTTCGTTATTTAGACCCAAAGATATCGGATAAATAGATACGCCTTGTATACATTACACTTGTCCGCAACTTTTTTTTGACAGTACGCTCTTCCTATGTTGTCAGATCTCTTTCATCAAATATCAAACATTAAATTTTTATTAAAAAAATTACTATTATCTTTAATACAATCTAATAAAAAAGGAAATAAAGAATTCAAAGCATCAATATGAGTTTTTTTATTAATTGCAATCACTTAAGACTTTTATTTAGCTATTTTTACATGTGTATCATATGTGAATATTAAACATTCTGGTATATATCTCTTAAGTTTGGCAACCTAAGACATTTTGCTGATGTTATCAAAGTGACAGATCAAATTTTATTGTGATTTTTGTGTTTTTTTGTAGTTTTCAAGAATAATTTAAACCTTGAACTTTTTAATAAGGACTTCTACGATGGGGAGGAAATGTATAGCGTGCGGAAATACGCAGAATAAGAATGTTATTCGATCATTTCATAAGTAAGATTATGTTAGCATAGACGTAGGCATATACGGGGAATAAGGCTTAATTTATTTAACAGTGTAAAAGTATTTAGCACTAGCATTGTTTATTTAAATAATAATGTTCTATATTTTCTGATCAGGTTTCCTAGAGAAATTATTCAACGTACAATTTGGCTGCAAAATCTATGCTTGGTGGAGGAAGACATTATGAAAATGAAAGAAGCCTTAATATGTTCTGACCATTTTTGCATGGCAGACATTTATGAAAATTTAAGTGGTAGACACATCTTAAAATATAATGCCATACCTATGAAGTAAGTACAGTGCGCAAATATTGGGTAATTTTGTTGATTTCTCCTTAAATTTGTGTTTTTTAATGGACTGTATGAATAGATTTTACTTGTTTTGGGTATTAAAACTTCGACACCACTTTTAATAGAGTTTATTACAATATTATACGGTATCCAACAAAAGAACAAGTTGTTGATACGAAACACAGGCACAAACAATGCTAGAATACGTCTAGTATGAGGCTACTTGCTTTTTTAACTGTTTTACTTAATAACACCCCGAGATAATATAAATATGTTTTAATTCACTTTTTCCGAGAAATAAGTGCCGGCCGGCCAACGCCCACAAAGTGCGAGAAAACTCACACACCACAAGTACATCCTTCTCGTCTTGAGTCAAGATTGCTTCTGTTTCAAACTAAACAATCTCCGAGATTGCACAGTTTATGAGAGGAGGTAAAAAATAAGAGGGAATTGCCAGGGTTGGTTGGAGTTACGTCATGAACTACCAATAGTACCAATCAAACATAAATGATGTTGGTTGCATAATGTTAGATGCTGTTTAGCAGTTAATTATATAATAAGGGGCGAGAGGAACAAATATATTTAAATTCGGTGTCTAGCGGCGTAGGGGAAAGAGGAGTAAAATAATTGATGTATTCTGGCGGAGAATAATGTTAAGTTATTTTCCAACATACAGTATTTATTATGGGTATTTTTATAATATGTAAGCTCTAAAATTATACAGAAATTATCACATTTTACAGAATTTTGGGAGAGGTAGTTGAAGAGGCGAAAAATGAAGAAGAAAAAAAGACTGCATCACCAGTAAGGTAACTTAATCATTTATATTGAGAAAAGCATACAATTCTATATAATTTTTTTTTTTAGTTTTTTAAAGAACAATGAAGATCCGTGCACATCTAGTACTCCTACAGGTCCTAGTGTGTCTGGATCACCACTTCCTAAAAGGTAATATAAATTTTTGGATTCTTCTTTATGTAAATAACTTATTTAAGAAAATTATCATTGCTTAAGTCAATACTAAATTAAATATAAAATATTTTAGATATTCCAATTATTATACACTTAATTCTTTTTGTAGGAGAAAATTAATTAAGCCCCGTTACTTAGCTGATATTCATTCATCAGACATGTCCAGGCCAACTGCTAAAAAAGCCTTAAAATTTGCAAAATTGATAATAGAAAAACAACGTAGAAAAATATCTACTCTACAAAGGCAGAATCGAAGATTAAGATCTAAAATTACTAATCTAAATTCTCTATTGGCCCATTTGAAAACAAATCAGTACATTTCGCCATCGGCAGAATCTATTATAGAGGTACTAATAAATCAATTAAAAAACAAACGTAGAACCAATAACATCTTGATTGAACCTCCATAGCCAGTTTTACTGGTTTTAAATTTTTTAGGAAATTATTTCGCGATCGTAGGAAAATTATTGTATGTAACTTGTATAAAAGTGATTTTTCACACAAAAATATCACTTTTCACACAAAAATATCACTTTTCACACTTGTAATATATTATAGTATTCCAATTTCCGATAGTATTATGTATGTTAAATGAATAACCTTTATTTATTTGTACATACCAAGATAGAAAGTATGTTTATTATTAAATACAATGAGTTTTTCAGGCTACTCTACCTGGAAGTGCTGCTGAAGTAATGAAAATGATTTTAAAAGGTTCTTCTCATCAAAAATATTCACCTGTTTTAAGGACATTTGCCTTAACATTACATTTTTACTCCGCAAAGGCATACAATTTTGTTAGAGATACATTTAATAATTCGCTTCCACATCCAAGGACTCTAACAAAGTGGTACAGTGTAATTGATGGCAAACCAGGATTTACAAAAGAATCACTTCGTGCTATAGAAGCGAAAATTTCAACTTCAACAAAAAAGGTTTGTGTAAACCTAGTTCTTGATGAAATTCACATCATGAAGAAGGTTGAATGGACCGGAAAAGAAGTTATTGGATACATCGATTTGGGAACCAAATTAGGATCGGACTGTATTCCAGAAGCTACACAAGCATTAGTTTTTATGGTAGTAGCTATGAATGATTTGTGGAAAATTCCAGTTGGCTATTTTTTTATAGAAAGTTTAACCGGATCTGAAAAAGCCAATTTAGTTAAAGAATGTTTAAAATTTCTTGGTGGAGTTAACATCAAAGTGACTTCTGTAACGTTTGATGGAGCATTAGCTAATATAACTATGATGCAGTGTCTGGGAGCAAACATAGATACGCCATCTTCATTAACTACTTATTTCATTCATCCAACAACACATGAGCAAGTGTATTTTTTTTTGGATCCATGTTATATGCTCAAATTGGTCAGAAATACATTCGGAACTGCTGGTAATGTTTTAAAAGATGGAAAAAATAGGGAAATAAAGTGGGATTACATAAGGAAACTAATACATCTTCAAGAAAATGAAGGGCTGTTAGCAGGAACAAAACTGAAAGCTCGGCACCTACAGTGGTTTAGAGAAAAAATGCGTGTTAGAATTGCTGTTCAAATTCTAAGTAAAAGTGTTTTTGATGCTCTAATATTTGTCGAAAATGATTTAAAATTACCTGACTTTGTTGGTTCTGAAGCAACTTCAGATTTCATATTACTTTTTAATAATATTTTTGATATTTTTAATTCTAAAAATTTTTTTGCCAAATATAAGTTCAAGCAACCTGCATCTGAAAAGAATTGGCAGGATATATGTAAATATTTCGATCGGGTTTGTAAATATATAATAGAATTAGAATTAAATAATGAACCCGTTGTTGTTAGTGGTAGGAAGACAGGTTTCTTAGGGTTCTTAATTTGCATTGAAAGCATGAAATGTCTGTTTTGGGATTCAGTAGTAATGAATAAAAATTTAGATTTTATTCTTACTTACAAGCTTTCTCAGGACCATTTGGAACTTTTTTTTAGTGCAGTTCGTAATAGATGTGGCTTCAATAACAATCCCACATGCAGATTGTTTCAAAATTGTTATAAAAAATTATTAATTCATAATGAAGTGAAGTCAAATAAAACTGCCAATGCAATTGCTTTAGATGGCACCAGCATCTTGGATTGTAGCAGCACTAGTAGCAAAATTGCGTTAAATTTAAAATGTTACGAATCAGACACTTCTGAAGAAAATTTGGAATTTACAAATGAGCTTCGTGACCATGATTATCTATCTATATATTTTCTGAGCGAATACATTCAGGATGTAGTTGCCTACATTTCTGGTTTTATAGTAAAATCCTTGAAGAACAAGATTCACTGCAAACAGTGTTTTGCGATTTTAGAAGGAGATTACAGTTTATCAAAACTGCAAAATCAAAAAACTTACGGAAAATTACAAAAATCTTCTAGATTTGTAGTTACTGTTTGTAGTGAAGCTGAAAAATGTATAAAAACAGTTTCAATGAACATACACAGTAATAATATTATTAACATTGCCAATATAAAATGTAAATTAGTAAATAGTTCTATGCGATATTTGCCTTCAAATATTTTTGATGTTTTTTCTAACCATATTTTTGATTTTGAACCACTTAATGACCATTGCATTACTGTCACGAAGCTCATTTTAGATAAATATATAGTCATT